CTTACTGAAGCCGCACGGGACGAACTTCCCGACTTTGGCGGCCCTGCGCATGCAAGTCATCCCGTCGCCGGACGAGATCTACAAGCCCTGGTCGCCGGTGGACATGTTCTTCGTCTACGACGCCGCGCTCGGCATCACCGTGCCCCACGTCCGCCTCTAGCCCCCCCTTTTCCTCGAAATTCCCCCAAAAAAACGCGAAAATCAAACAAAAAAACCCCCATTCTCGCCCACAGGACGCGCACGGTCGACTTCTCGCTCCTGAACATGCAGGCCCAGCTCGACGATTTCGGCGACGCCGTCGCGCCGCTGCCGCCGCTGCAGCAGGCCGGCGTCCAGTACCTGGACACGACGGCGATCGGAGAGATCCTGGACGCGCGCATCGCGCCGTCCGTCTGCAACTTCGTCAAGAAAACGGCGGAGCTGAACGACCTCGTCTTCGGCGGCCTCCAGGTCGGCTACACGCCCAACGAGAAGACGACCTACGAGAGCGTCTGCGGCAAGCACCTCTACACGTTCCCGAACCAGGACTACTACGACGACAAGAACAATCTGGTCATGATGAAGCCCAACTGCAGCATGAACGAGTTCTGCCACATCGTCCACCCGGCCCGCGTCTTCTGCGGAACGAACAGCCCCGGCCAGCCCGGCGACTGGTCCCTGTTCAACCTCCTCGTCGGCGGCCCCGTCTTCATCGAGCGGTCCAACCACCCGCACAAGCTCTACTCCGTCATCCCGGCCTTCTCCCTCGACGGCGGCATGAACCCCGCGGCCATGCACCTGGACAGCAACAACCACAAGAACGTCGCCGGCGGCAAGGGCCTCCTCAAGGTCGCCTGGAAGTTCGTCCCCGGCCTCTACCGCTGGCCCGTGCGCCACCACGCGGCCAAGAGCTACGACGGCCTCATCGGCCAGACGGAGTTCTGCGAGTGGTGCGCCAACGAGGGCTACCTCCTGGACATCGACGGCAACTTCTACGTCGTCTGCAACTACTGGAAGTACCGGGACACCTACGCGCAGCTCTCGGAGTGCATCAACCGCTTCGGCAAGCTCCGCGACACGCCCCGCGGCCACCGCCTCGACGCCTTCGAGCGCTTCCTCGGCGGCTGCGCGGCCGAGGTCAAGCACAAGGGCAACCTCAAGCACATCCCCCTCTTCCTCATCACGAACATGTACGTCGCCACGGACGACAAGCAGATGCACACGACCGAGGGCGGCCTGGAAAAGAAGCGCATGGTGCTCACGACGCACGAGCGGGCCCGCAACGGCATCGAGGTCCTCTACACGCTCAACCAGATGTGCGAGATCGCCAAGGGCAACATGCCGACCGTCGAGAAGCTCGACGACGACTTCCTCCCGGACAAGGCCCTGGGCCCCGGCGGCTACATGCAGCGCGCGCCGGCCGCCAACCACAAGGGCAAGCGCTGCAACTACTACAAGTCCTGAACTTCACGTTCGAGCACGGACCGTCGAGGAGCTCGTTCGAGCACGACGTTTACCGTGCCCTGACACCAAACCAAGTCCAATCCAAGTCCAATCCAAGTCCAAGGGGTACGTACGCGAAAGATCATTCAGTTGGTCCCCCTTCTTCATCACCGAACGCCGCCTCCAAGTCCACTAAGGCCTTCACCGAACCCTTTCCGGACCCCCCCAGGGAAGACAGCCCCCCCCGCGCGCGAAGGTCGTCCGGGGCTCGAAGAGCCCCGGACGGCCGAGCGCGCGGGGGGACCTATAACCGCCTGCGGCAGCTGCCGCCGGCAGGCTACGGCCGTAAGGCACCCTAACCCTAACCCTAACCCTAACCCTAACCCTAACCCTAACCCTAACCCTAACCCTAACCCTAACCCTAACCCTAACCCTAACCCTAACCCTAACCCTAACCCTAACCCTAACCCTAACCCTAACCCTAACCCTAACCCTAACCCTAACCCTAACCCTAACCCTAACCCTAACCCTAACCCTAACCCTAACCCTAACCCTAACCCTAACCCTAACCCTAACCCTAACCCTAACCCTAACCCTAACCCTAACCCTAACCCTAACCCCTAACCCTAACCCTAACCCCTAACCCTAACCCTAACCCTAACCCTAACCCTAACCCTAACCCGACGCCGCGCCGGCCGCTGAGCGCGGCCGGCGCGGCGCCGGAGACCCGCCACGGGCGGGGCTCGCCCGCCACGGGCGGGGGCGCCTCCGGCGCGAAGGGGCATCAAAGATGCCCGGGGCCTCCGGCGGACAACCTGCGACGCCTCGCGGCGCCGTTGGCGCCGCGCGGCGCGCGTTTGCCGCCTGCGTCCTCGACGGCGCGGGCCGGCTCGCAGCGGCCGTGGCGCCGGTCGTCGGCGCCGCGTGGCGGGCGTTCGACACGGCCGGGGACGTCGGCGCGCGCGCGGCGCTCTTGGAGATGGACGCTGAGCTTGCGCTCGTCGCCGCAGAGTGCGCGGAGAATGCGCTCCGCGACGACCTTCGCGCCGTGATGCTGCGGCGCGGCTTCGTCCCCGTCGCGGGGCTGGGCGGCGTGGACCTCGGCCCGCTCAAGGACGCGCGCTCCGGGCCGCGTGTCTTTCGAGGGTGAGCATGGCGCGCTGTCGCCCGCAGCGACCTCGCGGACGACGCCTCCTCGATCTCCGCGCGACGATCGTCCACGAACGAGCCTGGCCTAAGATATTCGCATCGCAAGCCGAACGTAATTATCTGAACGTAGTCGCCCGCCCCGGACGTATGCTCATCGTAATCGTTGTTCCTGGCTTCAGATAATCGTCTCGGCAAGCCGAACGTAGTTCTTCGAACGTAGGCTCCCGTCCGAACGTATGCTCGTCATAGGCGTTGTTCCTCAAAGAGCCCAGGCCTAAGATAGACGTGAATTCCATGGATGTTCCTCAACAGCCCAGGCCTAAGATAATCGTATGAAACCGAACGTAATTCCTTGAACGTAGGGTCCAGTCCGAACGTATGCTCCCGTCCGGACGTATGCTCACGGCAGGCCTTGTTCCTCAACAGCCCCGGCCTAAGATAGACCCGCAACCCGAAGTGGTGTTCCTAAACAGCCCAGGCCTAAGATAGACGAGAATTCCACGGACAATTCTCAACAGCCCCGGCCTAAGATAGAGCCGCAGCTCCCCACGATGATCCTAAACAGCCCCGGCCTAAGATAGAGCCGCAGCCCCGACGATGATCCTAAACAGCCCCGGCATCAGGGGAGCTACCGCTCCTCCCGCGCCGTGACGCCCGACAGACAGAGAGGGCGCACGGGCCGGCGGCCAAGGTGACCATCTTTTTTCGCGGATGTTCCTCAACAAGCCCCGGCCTAAGATAATCGTATGAAACCGAACGTAGTTCCTTGAACGTATGCTCCAGTCCGAACGTATGCTCCAGTCCGAGCGTAGAGCCGGGCCCGGGAGTTTGCCCGCAACAGCCCCGGCCTAAGATAGAGCCGCCACTTCACGATGATCCTAAACAGCCCCGGCCTAAGATAGACGAGAATTCAGCGGACAATTCTCAACCAGCCCCGGCCTAAGATAGACGAGAATTCAGCGGACAATTCTCAACAGCCCCGGCCTAAGATAGAGCCGCCACTTCACGATGATCCTCAACAGCCCCGGCCTAAGATAGCCTCGAACATCACCTTGTTCCTCAACAGCCCCGGCCTAAGATAGACGAGGATTCCACGATGATCCTAAACAGCCCCGGCATAAGATAGAGGCTCCGCCCCCACCTTGTTCCTCAACAGCCCCGGCCTAAGATAGCCTCGAACTTCACGGATGATCCTAAACAGCCCCGGCCTAAGATAGACGAGAATTCCACGGACAACTCTCAACAGCCCCGGCATAAGATAGAGGCTCCGCCCCCACCTTGTTCCTCAACAGCCCCGGCCTAAGATAGCCTCGAACTTCACGGATGATCCTAAACAGCCCCGGCCTAAGATAGACGAGAATTCCACGGACAACTCTCAACAGCCCCGGCATAAGATAGAGGCTCCGCCCCCAAGATGTTCCTCAACAGCCCCGGCCTAAGATAGCCTCGAACATCACCTTGTTCCTCAACAGCCCCGGCCTAAGATAGAGCCGCAGCCCCCACGATAATTCTCAACCAGCCCAGGCATAAGATAGAGGCTCCGCCCCCACGTTGTTCCTCAACAGCCCCGGCCTAAGATAGCCAGCAATCTCGACGGACAAAGATACAGCTGCCTCCAGCTCCGCGCCGTCACGGTCCAAAAAGGGGGAAG